ATCAAAAGTTGTGGGCACTATATTTGAAGTTAAGCATGAAAAATGTGATAGAATTAGCAACTCTCGATGCGTCCAAATGCATCTTAGTGACCTAACGGTAGTTGTAGCAGAACTTTAACTTCTATCAGAACCTTTCAAGTAGGAATGCGTGAAAAAAGTTATGGGACTAGATAAAAGTACGGAAACTGATCAGTCTGTCCTTACGGCGTTTTTTTAAAAATTCCGGAAGAAATTGGCGTCTTCCTTACACACCCGTTCAAGATTAAGGTAGAGTTATATGCCAATTCCTAACCGGAAACTTGTAGAGCGATCAAAGAAAACAGAGATGGTGATTGAAATGAAAGCCCAGCAGGATAATGGGGATGAAAATCCTAAAACTTCTGGTTTTCGAGTGGTGCGGTCTCAACAGCCAGTGATGGAAGGCCAGAATTCACGGGTTGGATCTATATATTTACACCCATAGTCTTACGAATAAAACTTTGAGTCAGGCTACTCATCACAGTCCTCGAAGTCAGACCAAGCAGCGAATAGTGAGACATGGTTATCTGAGGTTGTTACGATCTCCCCACTCACTCCAGGTTAAACACGTAGCGGGACTACTGGTGGTGGCAGTGGGGGTTATCCTGTACACCAACGAGAACCAGAGAAAATACTTGACAGCACCTGAGGTGCATTGTAATGCAACCACGAGAGAGTAAGTCACGAAGACATATCTGATCAGTGTTTCGGCAATTGGAGCAATCTACCCTTGTCTGGATAGCCTCCCCAGTGACTTCACGCTCAACTATACCAGGACGTCGGACGCCAGTGACAGATATCTGATCATGAGAACTTAAATGCACCTTGAGTAAATTGGGCAGGGTTCATCAGCATTCGGCCAAGTTTGTTTTTTATCACTATCTATTGTTGACTGCTTTAGATTGTGTACTCAGTCACAGTGCAAATTGTTCTGTATGTTATGAGTCAACGTATGAGCTGTTATTTTAGGACGTGTTAACATATCCACGCTAGGATGAGATATAACCAAGATACTTACTCTGACTGGCTGGTGGCTGCAATTCAGCGATTATTTTTAAGCTTAAAAAGCAGTGTCCGATCCTTATCTACCTTGGTACTCGCTAAACGATGCTAGCTTGAGGCATGGTAGTGAATCGGGATCCATCCATTTAGAGTGGCTGGTTCGTGATAAAAACTGATTAACAGAGAAAACTCCGAAATTTTTGACAGTGTGCTCGTTGGCCATGCACCTGTGCTTATTCTTTGGTGCATTCCCCGAAGCCAAAAGGTTGTTTAAAAGGGGAAAGGAGTTAGGGAAATATACAGACAGTCTAACAGCAAGGCGGTTGGCTCGAATTGCCTCAAAATTACAAGTTAACTCGAATCTAACCTCAATATACTTGGGTTAGGATGCGAAAAGTTGGTAACGGATGGTTGTTCAAACGGTCATAGTTAGAAGAGGACTTGAAAGAATTAGGTGATTCCTGTCCTAAAACCATGTGGCTAAGCAAAAGATGTAGTGATGCCCGAAATAAATGAAGCGGATTAAGCGTCTAACTGATTTAACCCGGCGTTCCCCACTGAAAATTCCGATGGGACTATGGATACTGAGACCGCAGCTAACGTCTCTCTAGTGGAACTGCTGTCCTGCTACCGCCTAACACTGACCAACCGACCGTAAAACGACATTAGACATCACCAAACTAACCAGTAGTTTTCCTCTGCCTAGGTATTGATAACGAAGGGTAAATAAGAAAGCATGTAGCTCAGCAAAGTAACTAGGAAAAAGTTTTATTTATAACTCAAAAATTTATTGTGGGAGAAAACGTTCAAAATTGTCTGACCGCGGACGGCTTGATCGTGGACTTTTGGGTGTTCATCTGTGAACCAACTTGGGGGGATCCAAAACGGGCTAATATCAACGGCTGGATGACTAGCCTCTGAAACAAAACTAGCAAAAATAAGTGCGTACGCTGACGTCAAGGGCTATTTAGGTAATATCAAGATATTTGAAATGATTTCCACTTGCTTTGAACCTAGGAATCTTGGTACCTCAGTTTTGTGCTACAAACTCTGGGAAATTGCGAAGGAGACAGCCCTCTGACTGCTGGGAAACCCAGAGCCCGGAAGACTACCGGAAGTAGTCGGGCTACGTCGTGGAATTCTGTTACATTTGGTTGGTATTTTTGATGCATCCGAAAATGCATCATTCAACGTGTGCTTATCCGGTCACATCCCTAAGGATTGAAGGAATGCTATGGATTACCCTGTTTCTTGTGCCAGGTACTAATACTGGTCACATTGCTACCGTGGTTAGAGTTGTAAACAAAATTTTGCTCAGTTGTACGCTACAGAATTTCCAAACATAGCGTAGTCAAACGGAAGACTTATAACAGCTGAGCCGAGCGCTATCCATTGACTAACATACCCCTGGCCAGAAGTGACTGGATTAAAACACTTGGCAGTAAATCTCCTATGAATGCGGTGTTCATCGGTCCTAGCTAAACATGTGATCAGTCATGATGCAGAGTTCGTGGAGAAGCTTCACAGAGTGGGCATCGGAAACAGGCTTCGAGCAGCACTCATGAGATAACTACGTGAGAGCAGCACAGCAGTTGACCGAATGGAATACTGTGTGTCACCAGCACTATTCCTCAGTCACCGTCCTTGCAACGCTTGTTCTCCTTCTTTACGGTGAAGAAATACCAAAGGCAGTTGAGTCTTCAGCGGTGCTATTCATTGACAACTTCAGAATTCGAGGGCCATTCCTGAGGACGATGATGGTGACAGGTCTGACAGTGACGAACTGGTTGGCTGGTTTAAACTACGGAGATTGGCAATCAGGTAAAGTATGGTAATACACAGCGACCGTGACTGCTCTCGTGGAAGTTGTGAATGGTAGTGGAAGTCTGCAAGACATTTGAACTGCCAACACACTAGGTGAGTCACTCACAAGCTTGTCCAACAAGAGAATGAGCAGGCCATGAACGAGGCCAAAACGAAAGGGAATGCAGAAGTTCAACAAACACCCACAGGCGTAAACAGTTGATAAAAAACCACTGTCCGGAATGATTCCCTGATTATCATGGGTGCGACAGACCGTCCTAATCTTCCATAGGGTTTTGCAGGGAACTTGCGCAGAAAACTCAAGCGGGACCGCATTCAGCCATTACATTTAACTATATTCTTTCATACAGTCCCTATCCAACAATTAAAGATAAGTCCTGACTCTTATGGCTAACATTCTCCAACCCAGATGATACTGAGGATGTGGTGTCAGCCTCTAAAGCAATAAAAGCTGAAGGGCAAGTGAGGATACTGCCAGATATCCGCAACTCTGAGAGACTGATTGGGAAGAAATTCCCTGGCGGCAATCTTGAGGCATACTATGGAGGAAGAAACTTGATAATGCAGGGCGTATCTACAAATGAAGGCGGCAAGGACTTTCGCGAGTGGAGGCAGCCTTAGAATAACATGAACATTAAGGGAATAATAACAGACCATCTCACAGATACC